GCGAAGTTTTGAACCGCTTTATTTTCGACGACGACATTTTGTACCACGATGTTTTAGAACTGCGATGTTTTTTCATTGCGATGTTTTCTCCCACGACGTTTTGTAGTACGACGTTTTTGTCTTGCGTTTTTTTCTCCGCAACGTTTTCGCCCGCGATGTTATCGGCGGACACCTTTTTATGGTAACTGACATCACAAAATAAATTGGAACTCAATCCAGGTATTACTCTGTCTTCGATTGGTGTAGATCCTTGGACTACACATATGCTCCTTCTATAGAAGAATACAGCGCATTACAGGATGTCGCTCTCATTCAGTTGTAATATTATTTACAGTACAGAGCATCGTATTGTTAGGTAACAGAAAATAACCAGCTGTAAAAGACTGCATGTAGAATTATCCTCAGTCTTGATGAGAAGAAGGGTGTAAAGAACCCTTTATTTCCATAGTACAGTTTCACAGATGGCCCCACTTGGGCATACATAAAGCCAGCACTCCTGGTTTAACTCAAAACATATAACGGTGAGCTTAAAATGAAATATAGCAAGTTTAGCCTAACGGCTCACAGGATAAATTAGTACACAAAAAGGCTATGACTCGTAGAAGTCAGCCAAAACAAGCTTAATGGATAGAAGCGCTCAACGCCACAGAAATCTAATTGCTACTTCAAGATAGCAACTTGGCCTTCGAGCAGGCATAACACGCTTTAAAATGACCTTTCCAAACCTTCCCTTAAATACCACTTCTTTCTACCTCATTTGAATACTCGCGCGCTATAGTTTATTAACACTCTGTCAACAAATGGTGGATGAAAACCCGACTGAAAGGAAGGTTGCTTGAACTAAAAAATAACTGTTAGTTAAATTAAATAAATTTCCGCAACAGTAAGTTGACAACTGTATTCAGATTAATATTCTATATTCTCCTACAGATATTTAAGATACATTAAAGCTCTCGTTACATTTCATTGCACTAAGATTTATTGAAGCTCTTGTAATTTTTGTTCGCTGTGCTTATAAATTTTATCTATTATATTCAGGTTACTATTTCATTAAGTATGTGTAGTTAATAAGTGGTCATACTTTATATTAAAATCTGTGGATGACTCCGCCATTAATGCGACTTATTCTGTGTATTTCATACTTTTATTATGTTCTAATGTGTTGGCACTGCTCACTTCCTACTTAATTCTTTGGTTAATATTTCTTAAACCTCATATTAACTTCGCATAGCTTATTTACCGTTTTCGCACATGTACAGAGGGTGTTCGCACATTTTTAGACAATTTTGTTTTTCTATAAAAAGAAATCGCCAGCTTGGAAAAAAAAAAAAAAGTTTAACTGCAACTAAGTTTTTGAAAGTGTACATTATTGTCTTGTAGGATTCCCCACTGTGTAATTCTAAGTTACAGTTGAAAGTGAAGAATCTTAAGAACTAGTAAGCGAATAATCGCTTGAGTTCGTGTACAGGAAACAACAAGTAAAGAAGGGTGAAATAACACTTTATTATTCCAATTAAAGTTTAACAAAACTGCGTCTTGGAGTTGTACAATAAAGCCGTCACTTGGGCTTAACCTTAAGAGACTAAGGATTAAACTAAACTAATCTTATCTAAAGAGATATAGCTGAAGCTATCAAGATTCTAACAGAGTTGGTCCCTTAACGCTAATTGACTGTGAAGCTATTAAGGGCCTAAAGTGCGGCCCGAGCGTAATAATAGCATACGAGAGAGTAGCGATGGACACAAGGCTATGTTTGTGCTCTATCCGAAGAAAATTATTCGCATTTAGTTATTGGAAAATGCTGTTAAAGCCATGCTTTTTGGTATCTAGAGCAATGATAGATAATATTATCAATTAGAAAGGAAAAAAAAAGTCAAAGTTTGGCTTCAAGGAGAAAAATTGTTCAAAATACATATCCAAGGATAAAACGGAATGTTTCGAATGTTGCAAACGTAAGAACTTTAATGTTAAAAGAAAATCTTCGAATTTAAAGGACAGTTACATAATCATTAAAATGCTCAGTGTTAAACAACAAAGTAAACAAAGTGTTTAATGCTGATTTGAATTTAAAAAAGGGGAAAAAACGTAATGTGCATCGTCTTTCTCCACGACATATCGCCGAAAGCGCAGCGCGCTGCAGACTTCTCTATGAGAAACAATTATTCAGACAAAAATGAAAAAGTCTTGTCACAATAGATAAATCTTGGGTATATTTAAATGATCTCAATAAAAATATATCTATTTATTATCATCAAAGAGAAGAAAAGAAAGTTTTTCAAAAAGATTTATGACTGTTGCTGGTTTTGATATAATGACAAATAAAAATTAAAGAGATTGTACAAAACTAAGCTCAACTCCACATATTATAAGGAACATATTTTATACCCAATTTTCAACTGTGAAATGCCTTCTCTTTACCCAAGCAAATGCACTTGAAAATCCACTGCTAATTTCCTGTAAAAAGGGGAAGAAACGGGTATCAAGGCCATATACCCATCACTCATATTCCTACTAAATCTCCAGATGTATCATCGACGAAATTTTGCGCTTTTGGATTTTTAAAAAAACGAATTGTCCAAACGTCGACATATATAACCTTTCTTGGACTTTGGAAAGTTGTTCAAGAGAAATGGGATAAAATATGTCTTCCACTAGAAAAAAATAAAGCTTCCTTCTCTTGGAAACTATATAAAGGTATAAGATATATAAGAAACTGGATAAAGATAGTGAAGAATAAGTGTTATCAATTGGAACATTTAAAGCACAAAACGTTTAGGTAAAATATTTCTATAAATACAATAAATATCATCTAAAAATTGTACGAACAGCCCTAGTATTTCATTTCATACCTCATAACTATGAATATTTCGCTATCTTTCCATTATGCCAATTCTGTTATTAGTGCCTACTGTGTTTAGTTTACTGTATCTCTTATGTGTGTAGATCTTTTGTGTTTACTTAGATATTGCTTGTGTAAAAGGTGCTAGTGGTATAGGTATTGTATCCCGCGGAGCATAGCTTCTCATAGTGCAAATGTACATATTCTTGTTTAGTACAGTGACCTTTCAAGGTTTCAACTAATCAATCTCTACATACGTATGCTGACATGAACTGACAAACCCCTAACTCACTGGCAGGCTCATGAAGCTCAGTCTATAGCAGTGGTAGTAGTATTATGTTAGCATCCAGTAGTCAGTTATAGTATACTTACATAATAAGACAACGACCACATCTTTCATCTAGATAACAGCACAGCACATTTTCACTAATGGATAATGAAGCGTTCAAACGAATTTCCAAATTGCCTTTTTAATTATTTGATATTAACCAAATTTAGAATTTATAGACTGAAATGGAAAGATCAATACAACAGAGAAAAACTTCTTCTAGCTGTGATGCTTCTAGAATGTTGAGAGAGATAGTCAACTTGAATTATCATTAAGAAAACTGATTGCTTTTGTGACAATAAACGGCAAACCAACGTTCAGTTTAGTAGGTTATACAAAAGTTTGTCCTTCTTTTAGAAAGAAGACATATGCTGCTCAAGATCAGACAAAGGTACTTTAATGTATATCTTCCATATTGCAGCTAAAGTAGAATTACATCTTAAAAGATTTTTTAACAATCTGGAATACTTAAATGTTTAACTCAATGATGCTGCATCTAAAACAACTATATGTTGCAGGCAAAATAAAGTGGTTGTTAAGTCATTAAATAGAATTAATTGTTAATTGAAAACTTACATGAAAGAACGTAAACATTCATTTTCGAGTATTTTTAACTAATATTATGGAAAGCATTACTTTTTAACTACTGTTCGGTGAGTAAAACATCAAAACAAAATTAAATCATAGTAATTTTATTCACAATAGTTTTCATAGAGTATGCTGTATTTCCTTTTCAAAATCATTTTCATGTCTTTTTGAAAATATAACTTATATTTTCATATTTTCACCAGTTTGTCAGCTGCATGAGAGAAGAAATCTTGAGCGCTGTCAGCCACTTTCTTAACGCTATGTTGGAGCACAACTTCAGCTCTTGGGCCAAAGTTTTTAACGTCTTGAACAACGGTGTTAAATTTATTAATCAAACTCATTACCTTGAAGACTGTGCCAAGAGATGTTCCTCCACTTACGTTACCAGCAATGTCCAATAAGTCGAAGCTTCCTGAAAGCAAAAAATAGGGAAATAATTCGGTTAGATTTTCTTTGGTCATATATTCATTGCCTTAAACTTTTTTTCATGCCAAGAAGTACTAATACATAATCCTTCAGAAAACATGCATACATATTTTAACGAAAGAAAATTAGGTACTGACATATTATACCGTCGACCGTGAAAATTGGCTACCATCGAGCCATGAAAAATTCCACTGAAGTTGCCTTCTGAGGAACTGTGAAAGAACTGACACATCTTTATTTAGTAAACATTCAGTTTCTAACTTGCTTCATTTCTGCGCTTCGTAAAATTCTCGCCGATTTTACCGAGAGCTCTGTTAAGAACTTTAAGAGCATAAACTTCCTGCAGCTGATTGTTCTAGTCTATTAATATTTGTCGGTTCATATCCAGTTGTTCTTCTTCCTATTCAGCAAATGGTAATTCTCTGGACCATTCCTTTGGACTAAAAAAAAAGTCTGATAGGTTTCAGACTTTAAATTACGTCCAAAGGGGCGTTTTTTTTTTTTTTTTTAAAGTTTTGTGTGTTACCTGTATTTATTAAATATCATGTTCCTTCGCACTTAAACCATAAAATTCTGTTGAATAGCAATGTCGCAAAATAATTTTAAAATGAGCATATCTTTAGAATTTCCGATACACAGTTCCCCGCGCTGGAGATAAAAATGTTTTTTCCCCGTAGAGTGCTGCCATAGCTCGCTTTTAAATCGTTGAGTTTGTTACTCAAAAATTCGTTAAATGTTTACAAAATATGAAATCGATAATAAAACAAATTCCAGATTTCAAATTTGGTGTTACACATGCCCATATATGCCCATGTATCGAGAATCAATCGCGATTAAAGCAAACGAAAACACAGATGTTATGAGTGCGTTGTCTCGTCACGCTTGTAGAGTCATTAGTTTAATTGGAAGCAGAAAAGATGAAAAATATATAACCGCCTTCGCCGGGTATCGAACCACGGACCTCTGGAATACCGGCCCAGCGTGCTACCGTTACACCACGAAGGCACGCTAGGGAAGCGGGAGAAATACCTTATATACTTCCCTTTTTTAAAGGGCGACTAGGGTTTTAGGGGACCTAGTCGCCAAATTCTGGGTGCGGAGAATCATCATCCACAGCCCTTTTAGTTCGGGCGCCACTTGTAGAGTCATTAGGTTAATTGGAAACAGAAAAGATGAAAAATATACAACCGCCTTCGCCGGGAATCGAACCACAGACCTCTGGAATACCGGCCCAGCGTGCTACCGTTACACCACGAAGGCACGCTAGGGAAGCGGGAGAAATACTTTATACGATAATCCATACTTTGAGCTAAATTGCGCTGCTCTGTGGCATTTTCACGGTCGACTGAATAGCACCTAAATACCGAAAAGCATTTATTTTGTATTGGTATCGAAATAAGTTACAGGTCAATATATTCATACATATCATAGATTAGATTAGGTTTAATACAATCTTTGTGCACTTATTTTGCGTAGCTACTTAAGAGGGTTCAAAGCGTCAGAAGTGGTGGCCTTTAGCGCCCATAGCACAACGGCGAGTGTTTGGTTAGTGTGTCCGTAGAGATTCTGCACTTCCCGCTTATTTCTTGAGGAAGGACCTCCAGCATAGCCAATTTCTTACGGTTCCCCATTGTCATTTCGATTCATTGGCACATGTAATGCGTCACATAATGCAGTCATGAAAGTACCGACTTGTGTTGAGCAAACACCATATAACATATCGTAAGTATAATTCAATTTAACTTCGAAACCAATGGGTAGATACTATTTGTTAAAGTGTGTATACATTTTCTGACTGATATGTTTTTCTGTCTGGTATATATCTCCATTTTATTACAGTCCCTTTAGTTTTACATTTTATAAGTTTGTATCAGTTTATTTGATACATGTGAAAATTCATTTTTTCATGGATTACTTTGAACCAGTCATTAGTTTCTTCTCGCAAATGTTGAAAATTCTGCATTTCGTGTTTTTGCCCTAATGCCGTAGCGTAACGTTTTCCTATCCAAACATCCTTACAATTAATTTGGTCTCGGTTTTTTTACATTTATTTGTGTTTTTTGTAATAGTTCTTCGAAATAAATTTTCCTTTTTTTCAGTTATTAGCAGATTGTTTAAAAATTGGCCATAAATGCATATGTATATAGAGATAGATATGCGCACAAGTATACATACACATAAGTATATCCATACACATAATCTGCATGTGACGGTTTTGAACTGCATATGCATATTTTCCCTCTAATTTAAAGGAAATAATGCCTTTGAATGTAAATGCATAAAAGACGTTTAATGCATAAAAGAAATAACACGAAGTTGAATGAAGAAAACGATTGTCAACAGCACAGTTTTGCAATTCCTTGGTCATCCATTATTAATTGGAAGCATTAATTTGCGAATTTGACATAGACATTCAAAAATTCATATTGCTGTTCTCTCTTAAAAATATGAGCTAAAAATTTGTATATTTGTAGCGTTTCTGTGCATTTTGAGACTTAATGTATCTTTTGTAAGTCATGCAAAATACGTTCAAGGAACATTCTTTTTAAAGTTGTGTAAGAATTTATGCCTGTGATATGCATTGCCGAAGCCTATTTATATTTTTCTATGAAGTGCTAATATATAATTTCGATCAAACTCATTATTTAACTTTCGAAATACATCTACTTTTACAGGCTCATTTATAACATAAATTCGTTGAATATTTCAAATAGTTTGAAATATTACCGAATACTCTTTTGCAAGTATTTGTATCAAAGATTCAGCATTTTCTCGTCTGTGTAATAAAATTACATAATTCCCTAGCAGCAAGTGTACAATCAAAAACCATAGCACAGAATATGTCTAATTTCCTTTATCGAGGAACTGTTAAAGGATTTTAAAACTTGAGCTACAGGAACTGTAAATGTTTTTGTGGTGTGCGAAGGCCAAGTGACTGTACTGTCCGAAAAAATCATATAATATTTTACCCCAGGTTACGGGGAGTAAAAATATTTAACATATTATAAAAGAAGTTCTTAGATAGGAGAACCGGATTTTGATTTCTGCCAGGAGAGAAAAATAATAGGTTTGGCTTTTGAAACAGAAAAGAAATGTAAAGGAACTAAAATTTGTCGAAAAAAGTGCTTAATCAAAAGCTTTGACCCTCGAAACTCAGTGCACTTGCCAAGAATGGCCGAACGCAATGGTCATTTACCCGTCTCATCACTATGAGCCTTGCTTAGATTTCCCCACACTGAGAGACAGATATTATACTCACGAGGCTTGAGTTCAGAATAACAGTCAGCATCCCTTAACCGTCCAAGACAATTTTTACAAAAGCATCGACAAAATCAAATGCTTCCTGTCTTCTCGACATTAAATGGAAGCAGCAGCCATCAAACATAGCCGGCAAATGCTCAAGGAATAAAAACGTAGAGTTAACCATATTTACTATTAAAAGGGCCGCCCAGACGGGAAAAGTGGTTAGTGACTCTAACTGCCGTACCGAAGAGGCCAGGCTCGAATCTCGGAGAAGGCATGGATATAGATTGTGTTTCATTTCATAGTGGGTAACTATGGCCGCCTATTAATTGCCTCCATAGTAAAATGGCCATCGCTTCTGCTCTTAACAGTGGCCAAAGCCTAAAATGGCTAGTGTCCGCCGTATCCTTCAAGTATTTTCCCCCGCACATGTATTGTTTTCTTTATCGCTTGTCAATTCAGTAAAGTATTGTTCGAACGCGTGGAAAAAATCTTCGAATGAATGACTTTAAAAGATAACAGCATCGCATATGTATCTTTCAGGTTTCTTCGTAAAAAAAAGGGTTCATGTTATACGGAACATACCTAAAAATTAATAAATATAATTCGAAATTATAGGTGCGCATTATACCCCGGAATATAAGATAACTTAATAATAAGACGCACATTAGATTTATTAACCTAAAGACCTTAGCTTAGAATCTAGAGAATTTAAAAGCTTTGTTTTTAATAATGCGTTAAAATTTTTCCTGAGCGTTAATGATCGAATAAGCAAAATTAAAAATATAAAATGTGTTTTGTTCAATATTTTATATTTGTCGTTGGAATTCTTCAGAAAATAGTCGAATACCTAGATTTTAAATTTCGAGATTTTCATCAATTTATAATAGTTATACTCACGGACTAAGTTATACTCACGCATGATGTAGTTTTAGAAGTTTTGTTTGGAAAAAAAATAGTATTTTCGATATTCTAATGGTCTTTAATTATGAGATCTGCGGATGGGGCAAAAAAGGCTAAATTCTGTTGAAATAAAGCCCCATCGGCGGAGGAGCGGCAAAGTCGCTGGACATTGGTAGTTCATCAGGCCAAAACTCTCATGCTCCTATTCGTAAAATTCAACACTTTATAGTAAAACTGCTTGCCACAAAAAGCTACAAAAATTCTGAAATGAACGAATGTGACAAAAAGAGACAGAAAAGAAAGAATTAAATTAACATTTCGTTTAGTAAAATGTAAACATAAATGCCACACTAGTAATAATGAAGTTTAGCACCAGCATTAAGCACAAACTCTAATTAAATGAGATAGCACAGATCACTATCTACTTATCGCATTACACTGTTTACTTAAATAACTAATCTGCTCCAAGATATTAAAAATATTTATAAAACTTTACAGTAGGATAAGCTGTAAATACTGATTCCTTTCATTAAACGGCCACCAGCGGCGATGAGTAAAATCGTTGAACACTGGTAGTTCGGTCCAGGGTTCGAATCCTGGCAAACGGGCAGGCTGAATAGGCGTTTTGGTGGCTTTCCCTGTGTGCTATATGAGTCAGTTCCCTTAGAAAATCCTCCCAAAAGGCATTCCTTCCCTCAGACAGATAGTCTTCGAGTGCTTTTCCATAATTCAATAAACGAACCTAAGCCGTTGAAATAAAAATCCTGATCATATTAGAATTGATCAAAGTCCATATTTTCTTGAAATGTGTACATTCAGTCGTGAAACTACCAAACTAACTTTGACAGCCGTGCTTATTAGAAATAATTTTTTAGAAACAGAACGTTTACCATTAGCTGAATGATAACCATTCTTAATGTTGGGAGTTCCATACGGAGTCGAATCTTTTAAACAGGTTATATGCATGATCCATTTTTGTGATTTTCCTACGCGTTAAAAGAGATTATCACACTTGGCTACAGTCCCTGCTAGACGGTACTTTTCTGAGAAACGAGATTCTGGTAGCACTGGTTTTGAACGGGAGGATTTCTAGAAAAAAAGAGCCCCGCCTGAAGCGAAGTCCCGCCTAGCTACGGAAACGATGTTGCGGCTAAGCGGGATTTTTTCATACCTCACGGAAAATGTCTCAGCTGGACCTAAATCCTGGGTAGAGACAACCAATCAGACGAAAATTCTGCTTCTGAAGCATCCCGTGATCCCAATCTGAGCGATAATCGATTAGAGTTTGGCGTTCAAGTCTTTGTAGCAAGTGAAAATGGTAACTCAGCTAAGTCGGTTTCCTCGAATTGTGCGGGCTCTGAGAATTTTCCCTTTCGACGTCAAATCCCGCGTAGCCGAAACATAATGTGATTGGGACCTGAAAGCTCTAGCGAAAGCTTTAGGCAGGTAGTTTTTTGAGCACTTGACGTTACTTCCGTAACTGATTAAAAAAAAACAAGAAGCAGGATATTAATAAGTTGTATTAGCAGTTAGTAATAAAATATATTTTATGAAAAATGATATCTACAACTGCAGGAAGAGCTGCTTTATTTCGAATAAATGTGAATAAAATGTTGAGTCCCTTTACAAGAGTCATGACGAGGGATTCCTGCTTTTCACGAGAAGTAATTGCTAGTAGTAGAAACTTGTATCTTGCTTTTAAATACTAAACTTAAGTTGAAATGTTTTGAAATATTTTTGTGATGGGAAATATACTTTCATTTCTGTCATAAAAATAATATTACTTATTTAAACTGCAGCAAAAATGAAAAATTATATAAGACTGGCTATTGAAGCAGATGTGACATTAAAGCACTTTTCAATTAACAAAACAGAATATCCAAAATTGTTAAAGCATATTAAATGCATCTATTAAAATTATACTCTCTCTTTTGTGTGAAAAATTGTTATTTATATTATACTAGTAAACAGTGTATCCTGATTTAGTGAAAGTAGGTTGTTTTAATGCACTTACGAAAGACAAGAGTCTGTTCAATTTCCTCAACGAGCTCATGAATTTTGGACTGAACTTCTTTGACAGCTTCTTTGACTTTCTGGTACTCTTCGGGAAGCTTTTCCTTTAATACTTCAAATGTCTGCTCCATCTTATGCAAGAGATCAAGAAGCTAAAAGCAAAGATTTTCATTTAATCTTGAAAAAGATGATAATATATTATATCAGTTAATTTGAAAGACATTAAGTACGTTCTATACCAAATTCTGATACATTAGCGTAACTGGTTTAAAATGGTGAATAAGTCTTGTATCATTCTTTTTTATCCAAGAACCTGTAATACAACTGTTTTCGCTGCAATAAATCTATCTTATTAATGTTTGCGACGTATGGTTAACATCGGGAGAATATCCGAGGAACGAAACAGTATTGAACATCGAACTGTTTTCGAATTTATGACCAAAAAGTAATAACACGGGCAGTATTCATGAAAAATGAATATACAGTGGATAAAAAAAGTATTAGCAATTTCCTGTAATTGATCATATTAGCTAGCAAAGGAAATGCTTGGCAATTTTAGTTGCCCATAATAAATGCAGGAGGTAATAAAACACAAATCTAATGAAACCTTAATTTTAATATGCCTTTTACACAAAATATTCAACAAAAACGTAAATTTGCATGTCAAAAATGTATTGTCAAAATTCTAACTGCTATGCAAATTTTGTTATGTTGAGGTCACGTGCTTAGACTGAAAAGACACGCCGTTAGTGTTAAGTCTGCAGTGCTACTTCAAAACTTTTAAAACGTTATTTTGCTGATACCGTGATAACGATGGCTTCGGAGTCGGATATTAACATTAAAAGCGTGATTATTCAGCCCAGAAATGAAGGTTTATATTGTAGAGTCATTAGGTTAATTGGAAGCAGAAAAGATGAAAAATATGCAACCGCCTTCGCCGGGAATCGAACCACGGACCTCTGGAATACCGGTCCAGCGTGCTACCGTTACACCACGAAGGCACGCTAGGGAAATGGGAGAAATACCTTATAAAAATATCGTGCTATAGGAATACAACTGAACATAAATCTATTTACTGTTAGAAGTGTTGTAAAAATGTTCAACGAGAGAGCATCGACGGAAAATAAGATTAGAAGTGGACGGCCTCGAATGTTTTCTGCAAGGGAAAGCGTACATTATCAAATTTTTTAGAGTGACGGACGACAATATGTGTAGAGAAAGCCAAACATTGAGCTAAAATTCAGGATTTAACCCCAACCGTGAAACATGGTGGAGAGAGCGTCGTAATTTGGGGCTGTTATAGCAGCAAACGGAGTTGGTAACCTGTGCTTCATTGATGGTATTATAAAAGCACATACGTACACTGACATATTGCGCTATAACTTGAATTTCAATGCTCAAAAACTTGTCTTAGGAACATCATCCGTGTTTCAACAGGGCAATGACTCGAGCGAACCTCATTCGGGAGTAGTTATTCTATAACGTTCCTCGCCAAATAAAAACACCACCTCAATCCCCTGACTTAAATTCAATTGAAATTTTATGGCACAAATTCGACCTAGAAGTCAGGAAACATAAAATTTCGTGTAAATATGAATTTAAGCGTATACTTCTGCAATAAAGGGACAACATTCTCAATAGCACAACCAAGACTTTTCTCTATGAGAAATAGATAACAAGCTGTTATAAATGCAAAATATATGAATACAAAGTATTAAATTTTGTTCCCACATTTTGCTGTATAATCTTGCCAATACCTTTAAAATTTTAATTTTTTTATGCAAATTTACGTTTTTGTTGCATATTTTGTGTAAAAAGCATATTAAAACGAAAGTTTCATTAGATTTGTGTGTTTACTGCCTCCTGTGTTCGTTATGTCCACCTAAAATTGTCAAGCATTTCCTTTGTTAGCTAATTATGATAAATTATAGGCAATAGCCAATACTTTTTTATCCACTGTTTAACGCGAAATCTGTGATTTCATATGCGACTGTTAAGAGAGAAGTACCCTGGTTTAAATATTCAGAAACAGTCAATGGAACATGGCCCGTGTTCACAGTACCCAAGTTACCACTGAAGAAATGGATCCCGAAGTTGAAGAGATTATTATGGGTATCAGGCGTATAAAGAGCTTACTTCAGCAACAGAGACTTTAGCCTTTTTTTGAGCTATAAACGTGAAAAATTAGCAATGCTTTTTTTGGGGGATTTGAAAGACGGATTTTGCTACTATTAGTTAAACGTGCTAACACTTTCACCAGGAAAGAAAACATGGAGAAAGGCAATAACTCTATATAAAGCTTACTATAGAACTAAAGATTAGCGCCGTGTGTGTGGAGACCATGTCCCATGAATAACTGCTAATGTCTAAAGTCCGTTCTCAATGGACTGAAACATGTGCCTAAAATGAAGAGGAATCATGTGGAATCTTTTCACGAAATGTTATTTTAACAGAATTTGATAAACACCTGTTTTAAGCTTCTGAATAAGATTTCCACTTGTTGTAGTTCTTTTACAATAGTGAATTACAATATTATTAAAACAGCAGTCAACGATTTGTTTTATACGTGATACTCAGTATTTTAAGCAATGAAAATGTGCTTTTTCTTAACTACTACTTATTATGTGTATAGGAGCAGCATGAAAAGACGATTCTACACCGTTGGCAATAAAGCTGGGTAATGAGAACTGCAGTGTTTACTTAGAAGCTATGAGAAGATTATATCGTACATGAACGATATTCTAAATAATTTTAATAGACAAAGTTTAATAAGTATTATATTTCTGTTAACATAAAAATCCAGGCACTTCACTTATAAAATGCCTACCAGCAGCCTACCAATAAAGCTGCTGAACACTGGTGTTAAGACTCGGGTTTTAATCCTGGCGAAAGGTCTGGCTACATAAGCGTTTTCTTAGTTCGGAGTCAGTTTCCCTTAAAAAGTCGTCCACGAAAGAATGCCTTCCCTTAGATAGATAATCTTCGTGTGCTTTTCTGTAATCTAGGTTATTTAATAACTTACTAAAACGTGAGCTTCTTCTTCAACTTTTTCGAATAGATCTTCAATTTTCTTCACTACGCTTTGAGATAACGTGTTCTGAAGACCAAGTTCCTTTAATACATGAGTTGCAAAATCGGTCACATGAGCTTCCAGACGAGATTCCATTTTCTCCAAAGTGGTTTTAAGATGAGGAACAAACTAAATGAGAAGTAAAAGTATAAAACAACATGCATTTAAAATAATAACCGTATTAAATATATTTGCACATTTTTCATTGAGAGGTTATTTAACTCTTTTAGGAAATTCATTGTTTTAACAAATTTTAAATTGTTTAACTACTACTGCAAAATGTATTCTATTACTCTAATATGATTTTACCAAAATTCCGGTTTTATCAAAGTACATAAACCTTTCTTTAAAAATTGCCTTTAGTTATTAAAAGGAAAGCTTTTCTAATACAAATGATGCGTATAACAAAATGCGCTGCATCTCAGAAGATAATATGTTTCCAGAGCTCTTTACAAATAATATACATTTACTCCATAAAGATCATAGTACCACCATAATTCTCTTTATGTACTTAAATTATTTCCGTGCTTAATTAGTTGTCTAATCTTTAACACCTTTAATCTTCGTATGCTTGCAGGCATAATTATAGCCGTAATTTATTGCTTGCTTTTGTCTACTTGTAGAATATAATGCATTTAACTAATGGAAGATTATTTCTTCATTGAGTAAGTTGTTATTTTATTTGTTATTTGATCTGTACGCGTTTGAAAATTAAAGAGTAATCTAAAATACTTAACATCTAAATATCGTATGAGAAAGTCACTGTGTATTTTTGGTTCCGCTTAAGAAATGAATAGGATAAAATAGGCTTTCAAACTATGACAATTTTTATTTGGAAACTTTTAGTAAAAAATAGCTTTAGAAGAGATATACAAATAAGCATTTAGACCATGTTAATTTTGGTTAATTGAAATCTTTAAGTAAAAAAATAGTTTAAGAAATAATTTTAAGTTTATACAGGTTATCTGTAAAAACAATTATGATTAGTAAGATATTACTTTTACTGTTACAAAGCTCTCAAAGGAAACTTAGATTGCAATAAACTGGCCATAAAACTGGCCTTTAAAACTGTCATAAATTATGTGATATAGGCCACTTTCCCCCTAAAAAACTAACTTGTAAAAATAACTTTTAAACTAGTAAAAAATCGAATGCTAAATATTATAACAAAAGTTTTACTTTGTTATAATTCCAAAAATTGTTGAATTTACAAAAATAATTATTTTATATTTATTTTAAATAGAATTTGTATGGTCAGAAAATTGTAAATAATAGATAATGCAGCGACAAAAAATTTCACTCACTAGTAAGTAATCCGTAGAATACTACTCTTTATAAATACACAACTGGTTATTTGAGGGTTTCTTAATTTTAAAATTACCTTCATGTAGTTTTTGGCGTACTTCGAATGAAATTCTTTTCATAACTTAAAATACTAATGTCTTAAAATTATGCACTTTAATTTTTTTGTATTCTTAAAAAATTATTTTCAATTTTTTAGCTACCATTAAGACTCAGTTACATAAGTTGCAAGGCATTTCCTCCTTTCTTCCCACGTGCCTTCACACAAAAAGCACGTCCAGCTAGCAATCGAAATATTCGGAGTTCGAATCCTGGCTAAAGCACTGCTCATTTTTCATTTTTCGTGCTCCAGTGTATACGTAAAAACTCTGCTGTTGATTACTTCATGCAACATCTTATGTAGTTATCCTCGCCGGGATTCGAATTCTGGACCTTCCGACTACTAGTTGTACGTCCTTCCCATTACACTACGAAAGTACATGGAAAGAAGGAAGAAAAAAAACCTTGCAAAGTAATATTCATTTAATTTGGAATCCCTAATTTTGATTTATTTTGTAGTTACGTGAATAAATTGCCTGTCGATTTGTTTAATATCTTCATGCTTTGGATTTAAATCTATAATGCACGAAGAATAAAATTACATATAAAATTTTCCATAAATTGTATGCATATGCTAAATACAGGTATATATCAAGTTATTTCCGAAAATGTTTTGAAAATTCATTTTCTTTTACGTTAGTATAATACAGCGCCATATAAGATGTAAAAACACCATAATGAAAGTTCTATAAGAAGAATTTTATTGAAAGATTTACATTAAGACATCTTCATAAAGCAAAATGTTTTGCAGCATGCTACACATAGAAAGCGATAAAACAACGTTAAGTAGGGAAAAAAACCTAAGCTTATAAAAAGTCACTATTATCTTCTACTGGGTTAAATTTCATTTAAAAAATCAATCTTCCAGAACATAGAGTAATTACACCCCTTCCGTCATACTACTTATCTTCTAAAAAGTAGAAATTATCTTAATTAATTAAGCTACATTAATTTAGTTTTTACTCACACCCAGCAACAGTAATATCACTACAAGCTCGACATTATGATGTCATAGAAACGATAAAATTATGCCAGAACTTAAAATGTACTGCATTCATTTAATTTACTCTTGTAAACAGGATGCTACTAACATGGACAATCCGAAATCGCCTATAAAGACATGTTCAAAATTTATGTTTAAAATTAGATAATAAGGGATTTTAATTCTTAATTTTAATTCTTAATAGCGATGCTCAATTAAAATAAATTAAAGGTGGGCATAGTAGAATTTGATTGCCTTATGATCAAAGACAGAAGTCAAATCACCAACTTTAAGGAAGAGGACACTACTTCATTGAAGACATAAAAGTCAAAATTTATTTGAAATTAAAATTAATATTTTGATGAGAGACAATTTAATTTACTACTTTAGCTGTGGAATGTAATTATGTAACATATCATGCTAATTATTGTGATGAAGAATAAAGCCCATAGTAGATTTATAAATAAATTCAAGCAAACTCCTTTTTTTTTAGTTAAACAATAGCATGTAATAAATGCTAATTCCATAAAGATTTCAAATTCTGAATTGGCGCGGCAGCGTTCATAGTAGGATATTAAAAACACACCATAAGGCAGTAACTGTAATTTATTTATTACCTAATATGTCAATTAATAGTTAAAGGTATGTCATTTACTAATGTGTAAGTCATTGTCCATTGCGTAGATTACTTTTTGAATATGGTGCCTGCGAAATGATGCCCCGTCTGCACAACACATTCATCTAGGTGGTGTTGGAAGCTTGTCATAACTCGGCGTAACGTATTCCCTGGGACACTGCCGACGGCAGTTTTGATGCGATCCTTCAACTCAGGAATGTTCGGAAAACTTCTTGTTTCAGGTGGCCCCGAAGGAAAAAGTCTGCACATGAAAGATCAGGTGAGCGAGGCGGCTAGAAAATGTCACCAAAACGGGAAATTACTCTAAATGAAAATATCTGTCGCAATGGTCCGTCCATCTGGAACTTTTCCATGACGTCCCAAGTTGAAATGTTGCCGAAATAGACGCTGGGTAGCAATAACAGAGTAGTTATTCTTGAAATAACTTTCAACACCAAAGGTACGATGCTGTGCACTCCACCGATCCATATCACTGTCACACTCGAAATGGAAGCTCATTAGTACACGAATGCGGCATGAGCTGGCGCGCATTCACGCATTACGTCATTGTACAACTCAAGTCAAATTATGCTATGAACGCTGCCGCACCCTGTATTAACTAAAAGATTTTAGATCCTACTAGATGGGTAGGCGGATTATCGCTCCGGCTGAGATATTACAACAAAGTCTTGAGAAAGTTTTAAATAATCTTCCTTTTAAATAACCTTGAAATTAAAAAGAGAGGACCACTTTTTTATTTGTGCTTACAGACAAAACTCCGCTGTTGCTAACTGTAAAATAACAAAGTTAAAATTTCAAATTAAAAGTAGGAGGCTACACAAGCTAGCTCAACTTTAATAGCGCGATTTAGCTTCGCCTAGCAAAAGAGCTGGGCAAAATAAAACTGAAACACCAGATGCTGAAAGCTCTGTGTCCAAAACATCCAAAATTCTTGACTTAAATACTTTCCTATCTAATTTGCATCCTGGTGAGGGCTATGGGAAGAAGAAGTTGTAGTAAAGTTTTAAACAATAATAATTGGTTAATTAACATGAAGTACTATTCATATGCATCTCATCTGTCATAAGTAATCATAATATCTAATCATTTAATAGGCATAACTAGGCTTCTGTGCTTTTAACTGGCAAGTATTAAACATAAAATGGATTTCGTCAATAAAATGTGTAGCTTTTTCAAAGCGGTATAAGCTTGAATTTCTTTTTAATCATAATTGTATAATTCCAAGCATTTCTCACCTCTTTAGCATCGTTGATTACTTTATGAGTTTTATCAGCCAGGCTCATAAGCTGCAATACCGTGCCCAACTTGGTGCCTCCAGTAAGATCAGTCAGATTGTCCAAAAGATCAAAACCATAGAAAACACCTAAGAAATATAAATTAATTATATCGCATTTTGACCTTTATATACTTTCAGGAATATATCAGGTTTAAAATTCCTTCATTCTTGTTTAAAATATTCTTCTGTGATATAGGTTCTCTTGAAAGTAGGATACATTAAATTCATATGAATAAACTTTCAAAGGAATTTACTTTTTTAACGATTAAAAATTTAAACTTTAGAAGCAGAACAATATTATTTTATATATTTATCTTTTATATACATAATTATTTGTATATAAATGGACTATAATTAGATTTTTTAACTAAGAATATTTTTATTATAAGCTCCTTCTTCAAAAATTCCTTTTTTATAGCACCTTTCTAAGTTACTTCTAAACCTCAGATAACAGCTTGCATTGAATACAACCAAAAATTCAAACTCGATAAATGCTATACATCTACGGCGGGAGTTTAAAGAACCTTTTCTATAGCTTCCAATGCTTCCAAATTTAAGAATTTTCTCATTATCTATTGAATAATATTAGTTAAAATTACTAAAAGGGCATGAAATTTCATTTTAGAGTTTGAAATTATTAAAAATTTAAAAAACTTGTTGATGTTTTTCCAATTCTCATATGTTAAGAAAAGCGATTACGTTTTAAATATGATTGTAAAATTTGATGCTAAGAGAAAACTGGAAAGAAACTTGCACTTTTTAACAAACTGATGGCGACATATATAATGCTAAAGATCGTAAAAAAAGAATTAGGAAGAAAATAAATAACTTTACCAACATTGCATGAATGATATCTGATACATAAAAAAAGCGTGGAACATGAATTACATGAATTAACTGTAGTAAACAGTTTATAATTCAATTACAATCAATAGGATTGCTCTTATTGTATTTTTAATGAGGTATCTGATGTTCTTCAAGATTCATTTGATGACTGAAATATTGTAAAAAATCATAGTGTCTGGCAATCTAACTCTTACAAAAAGACAAGAGATAAGAAGAAATAGAGTATACAACAACGTATAAAATGCTGTACTTTGTTTGTAACCACCCATGATCATACTTCGCATATCCAGATAGTGATTTATAAAGTATTCCAAATCTAAAAATCTAGAAGATCTATTTAGTGTCTAAAGCAATGGACTAAACATTTTCTTTCCAGTTTCATAAATAAACTGAAGAATTCTGAATTTAAAACTCAGTATTTGTCATCCTCATTTACCTAACAAAGGTATTACCAATAAATTATTATTGTATTTTGGACTGCACAAAGTGAAGCTAAAATTTGAAGGAAGTGCATGGAAGTTGCTTTAAAAAATGTGGTAAAAGGAGTTTCACGAAAGCCTTTTATTTGTAACGCGAAAATATTGATTTTAGTCTGTAAAGCTGTTTTTCTTGGATGGAAATTTACAAGTTTTCGTGTGAGATCTTCTGAGCGTTCCTTAAAAAATGAAGGCAATTTCTAGTCAGGGCTATATAAGAGAACATACCCATGCATAAGGCATCCATTATATTCTCTTTAAAACAAAGAAGTTGCACTTTATCTCCAGGCGAAAGGAAAGAAAAATGCGTTTTAGGAAATGAATAAGAGAATTAGTTCAAAGTAAAAGTATTAAATGGTGAAAAACTGTCTTAACTTTAACTTGAAAAAAGCACGAGTAGTTTTGAAAGTTATCGTAAAAATAACTTAATTGATGAGATTGTTTTAATATTGAACGAAAAAAGTTCTTAGCGTTTAATTACTAAACAATCAAACACTTTATCAGTAATCACAAATTTTTAGTTTGTATTTATGGTTTGAAGCCTGACAATAAATTAAAATTTCCGAGGTTCCGGATGACAAGATTACAAGATTTAATGGCTTAATATAAAAAAAAAATATTGGTTGTTGATAAGTGCGTTTTACATTTCAGACCTGCAGTAAAAGGCATTAAATATTCAGTTGATTTTAATACATTAAGTTTAAAGCATAAAGTTGGGTTATAATAATTAATATACTATCTATTTATTGATATTAATATGTTTTTGAGGGGTAAGGTGCTGAAGTTGGATACATGACTTCTTTCCATACAAGTTCTGTGATATGACTTATTTCTGACAGTAACATGAGAACAAATTCACGAATCTTATCGTGGAGCAGAACGTGGGATTGCGTCTGTCGTTGGCATGGGCTTTGGATGCCATATTGGTAACAGTGAGAATTAACTAAAACTAAAACTAAAACTAAACTCAGTGGCGTAACAGCCCTAGTGGGCCAAGGCCTGCAGTGCCCGTAATCTGCTTTCTTGACCGTGGGCCCCGGGGTGCGTAACAAGTGGTCAGCCCTGAACAAGTGGTCCCGGGGTGCCCCTGAACAAGCTTGTCGCAGGACCCCCAGTGTTTAGTCCCCAAGCGAACTTGGTACTAACAGTAAGAATTAGCTTGCCAAAAAAATTTTGAAGAAGAATTCTCCGGTATTCTGAACCAAGGGCCTACCACTCCTCTTCCCCTGCTACAAAACCTCTCGAGAGGACTTTCGGATTGCCGTGTATTTTAAGAGCGACATGCCACAAAGACGCTCCCAAACATACAAGTCTTCACCGGGATTCGAATCCGGGCCCAAAGATACGGCAGTCAGCATCAGGACAGCCCTTTCCATATATAAAGTTTGCATGTAAAAAATGACTTACTTTGCTTCCTAATGAGCTCTTGAATTTTCTCGGCCAACCTCTTAAGTCCAGCTAGTAGCTCATCAATTCTTTCATGTAGTTCCTTATTTACTTCAGGAACAATTTCTTTTAAATGAGTTAAAGGTTCTTCCACATGATGGATAACATTTACGAGCTAGAACAGTAGAGAAAAGTCTGTAATGATCTAAAATTGTTAATTTAATAATTTAAAATGTATGTTTTTTTTCTACTTCTCTCAGCTATATTATATTATAATAATTCAAATATTTTAGAGTTATATTAGTTTGCGTACATCTGGGAATGTTTCAAGTATGCAGAAGCATGCAGCATTTATGACTGATGCTCATTTATTTCTATTATTTGAAAGCCTACATATGTATATATATTATAAATTGCATATACTTAAATACGTTTAATTGTAATAAACAGGCGATTTTGTGAATTTATAAACTGAAAAAAAAAGCATAAATTATTGTAATAAACAATAAAATAGATGCAAATTTAGTAGATGCAAGAAAAATAGTCAATAGCGTTTTTTGGCTGAGGTTGACATCTTCATGAAAATGCACATTTTAAATATAAGTTAAAATCAAATACATGAAAATTAAAAATTTATATAGCCGTTTTGTCACTGTCAGATTCAAACTTCTTCAGGCAGTGGGGAAACCTGACCCTGATACAAAAGCTATATCTGGCTCATTTCTGTTCATCTCAAAGTAGTAGATGTATTAAAATTTATTATTGTAAAATTATTTGTACCTTAAAAGTTTTAAAGGCGACACCTCTATGCAACTAGCCTGAAAAATCTATTGTAAATACAAAAGCAGTTTCAATATTCAAATTGAAATTCAATACATCATAAAATTACCGGTGGGTTATATGCATAAGAATGACAAAATGGCCATGAACACAACTTATACAAAAAAAAAAAAAAAAAAAAAAAAAAAAAAACTGAGAGAGATATAATGGTTGTATCTATGTCAGGTTTTCCCGCCTTTTGAAGAAGTTCGAATCTGACAGTGATAAAACGGCTTTATCAATTTTTAATTTTCACGTGTTTATTTGATTTTAATGAAATTTAAATTTTCATTCAAATCGCAATCTCATCCTAACACTATTGACTATTTTTCTTAAATACTCTATATTTGCATCTATTTTATTGATTTTTACAATATGTTTGCCTTTGATTTCAATTTATTAATTCGCAAAATTGCTTGTTTTGTTATAATTTAAAATATTAAATTATTTTATGCCCATCTTAGCAATAAAAAGCAGGATTATGATTCTGAAATTCCTTCTTGTAATTTACTTTTTTCATTGTTTTAGATATATATACATATTTTAAAACAAATATCTGAACGACAATTGCATTAGTTATACCTTTTTTGATTTAATTCATCTGCATAATATTTGCGTATTTAATCGAAAAACGTACAGTTAATAATCCTTCTTTTCACAAAATAAATAAATTAATTAAATTAAATAACGTTATCTGAATTAAAGCAAATATATATACCGAGGTTACTTTATTTAAAGGGAGGGATACAGATCCTTTTTAACGAAAATCAAGCTCTACCAGAAATGGTCTACGAAAGACATGTTACACAAGTCTAAAATCTGGAAACCTCTATCTTTATTTTGTTTCTGTGTTAGCTACAGAATAAGGAAAAAAATCCATTCTTCACTGAAATATTTTTATTATTTCTGATATAATTCTTATTGTAAAAAGTTACTTCTTTGATATTTTAAAAACTTTGATCATTTAGTGGAAGAGCATGTTCCAGTCTTTTCTTGTTTCATTTATCTATTTAACAGATTCTTTTTATTTCCCAGAAAAGTAACACTTAAAATATTTTGTTTAAAACGTAAATAATCACGTAACTTAAAGGAAGAGAAAGGATTCACTGTTAACAATATAAAGCTCTTCATCCTTGAAAGTTGTCAGTATTACTTTGTTAAGGACTTTACGGGCATAGATATGCCATATTATGTAAACGTACAAATATGAAGTAGTAGAATAAAGGTGAAATAAATCAGTCGGGTTGGTGAGCGTAATAATCAGCATGCTACGGCTAACCAGTTAAGTACACGCATCTACATTCACTGGGCTTTAAAAACTTGGTTGCATAACATAAAAGTGCCAAATGACAGTAAGTTTTTTAAATTTTACTTAAGCATTAAAAATGGCGAATGCGAGAAACAATGCAATCTTGCTTAACTTAGGGGGTCCAATAAGAATGCAGGTTTTTATATAGGTAACAATAAGTTCTCTTTATTCTTTTAATTGATGACATTTTACAGTTTCGGGACGAGTTTTTCATTAATATAAAGCATGTATAAATGCAGTGTTTTAATAGCCGATTAAAGAAAATTCTGATCAAGAGCTGAGGGAAAATGTTTAATCATGTGGATTTTGAGTTTACGAGAACATAATTACTTTGATAACTTTCTCATTAATTCATTTTAATTATATGCAAATAATTTACTTTAAATAAATTCAAGAGTTCACAATAAAATGGACAAAAGTTTAGAGTTTCTGTTTAAAATTTCGAAGTGAATGAGTAACTATAACTGTAATTTACTCGTATAGCCTTACTTTTCCGAAGAAAATCTTTACATCTTCTTGGATGATGTCTTCTAAATCCTTGAATAAATCAAGAGCAGATGATCGAGAAGCTGGAGAAAAAATTTAATTAGTAATGCCTCATGCTCAGTAATGAAACATGCTCAGTAAATTTATTTTAAAATATGTACTTACGTCGGGCAGGTAAAGCTGCAGCAGAAGCTACAACCAAACACAAGACAACAACGGCGTATTTCATCTCTTTTACTTGAAACGCTTCAAAGCAACTGCATTTAAAGAACAAATAATTAGTCCTTTTGAGGTGAATAGGAGCAGCATTTAAATTGGATTAAGCTCTATTATTGAAAAAATAAGAATGAAATTTATGTTAATTAATCTTATCAATGAACTGTTACAATAAATTTTACTATTCTGCTGTCTAGTGTTAACAACTCGTTGCGGTTTGTTTTGCTACACGATGATTTAAAACTGCTGTTTATTACTTTATGGTAGTGTATACTAAAAAATTTAAAACTATAACCGTGACTTATTTCCTATTTCGTTATATAGCCGTCAACTGCCAGGGAAGTATAATTATATTAAAATAGTATTTTCTTAATGAAAGAGACAAAGCACAAAACGAAATTCATCTTACAAGCTAAATCGATGAAACTCACAACCTCATTTCAAGAAAATAAATGAGACTTTCTGTATTATTAGGCTATTAGTGCTAAGAGAATTTTCTCTCATTGCATCTAAGAAAATGCACACTTTTCGAAAATTGTTCATAAACTATATGTGACAATAGGATGTCCAGATAACGGTGCTTTGAATATTCCTTGATATATAGTTCATCTACCTTAACTGAAGTCCAGATGCATAAGTTGGTATTTTAGTTATTTTAATTATGCATAAATTTTATGGTAAATTCATAATTGAATTTACTAGTAAATTTCGCTTCATAAATAACAAGCTTACGTCAGCCAATACTTAATTATCACTTTAAAGTGTCAAATTGATAACTTTCTCATTAATGCATTTTAATTCTACACAAATAATTTGCTTTAAGTAAATTTAAGAGTTAACAGTAAAATGAACAATATTTGAGAGTTTTTGTATGAAATTACAAAGTGAATGAGTACAAAATAACTGTAATTTACTCGTATAACTAAAATGCAATTACTAGAAAATAACTTTATACAATTTCAAATAAACAAACATCATATCACAAATTTGATTTAAGTTGTTAATACTTTCTAATTCGTAGATCTTGCTGCTTCACTCTCAGAAGTTTATTAAAGGTATGCTGATAAACTTATTGATAAGGTCCTAACTTTCATAAACTATGCATTAACTTGAACAGAGGCTCACATTTCAAATTATAAAGTATCCATTCGTAACTTAGCTTTCTCCTCAATCAGTTCAGATAAGATTCAGGTTAAAAATTAAAATGCCTGTAAGGCTAGTTAGTCAGCGTTTAATTGAAAATAATTATCAAACTGGCATCTGGTTACAAATGGCGAAAGTCGTGTCTAAATTAACGTGCAAATTTAAAAGGAAACACAGCAGAGAAAAACAATTTACCGAACAATAAATATTAATAAAAATAGAAATAAAGGAGGCTTAGATGCTGCCAGAATGGAATTTAATTGAGTTTTCTAAATATCTTAACGCTGCAGTGCAATAACCTGCTGTGCTGACAAAGCCCTTGAGGAAAAAACATCTTATTTTTCATCTAGAAAATTTCGTATTTTTTTTTGGGGGGGGGATACTGATGAACTCGTTTAATCAGTCCTATACCAGTTTGTCGCAAAGCAAAACTTAACGTTTTTCTTGCCGTCGACATATTAACCGAAACTTTCTCTAATTGATAATGCAATGCAAATTCGTTAAATTTACAGTTATATTTTAAGTGACAAATAATTTTGGTGAACTAAGTTGCTCGTAAGGACCATTGTCTAAAATCAGGACAAAAACTGCATTGCAACGTGGAAAAAAATTTTTATAAAATCTTTCAAGTATTTAAAAAAATAATTATAGTAATGTACCTAAGTTTTCAATTTAGAGGACTAAATTTCACTTACCTCTATGTAAAATGTGATGTCGAAAGAGGAATTTTATTATGTATGGCTGCTTTTTATTTGGATTGATATGTTGACAGCTGCAAGTTCTCTTGCTGATTAAGAGACAACGACGTTCATTTGTGAGTATAATACTTTCTCCGATAAGTTAAGAATTTTTAGCACCTGTGACGCTGATACAGAACACTTCAATTCAAGTAGTTTAAGTGTTTGTTTATATGTACTGGGTTTACATCCGTATCTTTTTATCAGGGAACTAAACAAGTGTTTAAAAAAGAAAGTAAAAAGGTTATGTTTATTTTAAATTTATGTCTCACCGTAAGCACGCACACACATACACACACACACACACATACGCATACAAATAACAAATCCGTATCAGAAAATAACAAGAAGTATTACATCATAACGATTTTTTTTTGTTAAATTTGTAAATTACCTGATGAATTAGCTTTGTAGAATGTGTAAATAAGGTATATAATTCTTCTGAAACGAAGCTTATATGTCAGCGAAAATCACGCTAAGAGACTTGAAAAATTAATACTATATTAAATTAAAATCTAGCATCTAAACCTAGAATTAAATTTTTGAAAATTGAAGAAGTTAACACATTTTACGAAGCGTCATTTATTTATAAGCTTGTTTTTTATCCGTAATTTTTTGAAAAATAAAAAAAAAACCTACGGAAAAATTTAATATAATACGGTTTGAAGAACTATTAATAATGAGTCCTATATATGAGGTAAGGGTTAGATAAGTTATTAGGATTTTCGGAGGCCGAAAGGTGAGAAATCAATTCTACTCTTAACAGGATTCAAACCACAGGTCTTCCAAATGACAGCTGGTTAACAGCTAACTTTAAAAGTGTATATACGGAATTCCAGCCATGAATTCCAGCCATGAATTCCAGCCATGAATGTTCCAAGTGCCAACTTGATGTGCTCATCACTTACACCTGAACAGCACTCACGGAGGAGTGTGATAATGCCTTAAAGAGCAACAATCCGCATTCAAAAATACACCGAGATAATACTAGTTAAGGCGTTATTAAAGCATATTGCAACTTTAATTGAAGTGATCGATTAGCGGTTGATGAGGCAAAAAAATATCAAGCTTAACAGATGATTAATTATATACCGTATCGAAAGCCAGTTATCTAAATCGACTTATTTATACTTCTACCCGAACATGAGTATAAATATATTCCCCAAAATCGACCGAATAATAAATTTCCATTTACTGCAAGCAGAGTAATTTAAAAAATAACTAACGTGCAAAACGCATTTAACACCAATCAATTTATATTTTTACATTTTTTTTACAAGAAAAATCTTTCAAACGTAAATTCCCAATATTTATCAAAATACGTATATCAATTTACTCATCAAAAATTATTATGATGAAAATATTTACTGCTGAATTGCAGTAGACATATAGGTAAAAATTTTAAAAATCTAACTATATTTTGCAGTTTTCAAAACTTTTAATGTGTTATTTCCCGAGCCTCCAAACGATCGATTCTCATAACGAAAATTATAAGCATTAACCAAAAAGATTGACTGAAACTTTAATTTACATGTATTTTTTTTCATGTATCAGTTCCATTCATTTATAGTGTATTTCTTACTTATTGTTACCAATATAATTGTTTTCAGTTAATGTTCGCTCACACTTTTACAACAGAAGATATGCATTCATTCTATCAATACGAACAAATCAAATGAGATTTGGTTAATCTGGTTATGGAAAAGCACGCAAGAGTTGTCTGCCTAAGAAGATGATGCCGTCGTGGAAGACTTTCTGAAAGAAACTGGCTCGCATCCTCGTTACACACGGGAAAACCATGAGCCAGCCCTTTCGCCGGAGTTGAGCTCGGATCGAATTGCTAGTGTTTGTCGACATTACCCTTTATCCTGGGCAATTAAATGAGGTTAAACAGAAAGGAAGAAATCTGGTGTTTTGGGAAAATGTACAGGGAATTATTAAAATCCGTCTTACTGCTGTAACATGCTTCGTATTGCATCGCTGTGCTGTACTGTTTCGCGCTGTGCTTACAATTCAGGTTTTCATGTGACAAACAGTGAGCTGATTATGAATTAAATGTATAACTGACTGCAGGTGCAGTACAAAGATTGATCAAAACCATAATAAGTTTTACAACTACTTATATTTGCCGATTAAATAAAAGTATCCCCTTGTGGATTGTCTGGCTGCTTGGGATTTTTCGTTTTTTTTTCAAATGTGTAACTTGAGTCCCCTTACAAAGCCCTCCTTGATGACACTGTTTGCCTTAGGCAGATAGTTCTCTCCTGCTTTATTATAAAAAATCGAACAAACAAATAAGTGATCGAAGAAAAGTACCAGTTTAAGAAATATAAAGAACTAAAGTTTAAGAACGAATCGCAAGTTGAACTAACTGTATTCATAGTTTGCTTTTGTGCAAGCATGTTATTGTTGTGGCCCATCTGACCTGTCTGACATTACCCGAACAAATACAGGAATGTTATAATGCCGAGGAGGGCAAGATTGCGAATGTCTTTTTCATGGGTCTTGCGCATCGTGTAGGTGACAATACAACATTGTCCAATTCCGTCTCAGTTTTGAAGGTGAATACCTCGGGGTGACGATCTGAATATCTCCTACCCCTCTTGCCCTACCATCAAACAGCCCGAAAGGACATTCAACCCGCCATGTATTTTGAATGTCCCCATGCCGCACAGATCCTGCATAATCACAAACATCCCTGCCTTTTTCGGGATTCGAATCCCTAGCTCGACGATACAGCAACCAGGATCACTAATCACTATACCGATCGTAACGGCGTAAGCATGTATTATAAGTAGTTGATATGTAATCATTAACCTCAGTGAAAAGTAAACAAGTTCATAACTTTATTTCAAAGTGTTATAATTTAATCGATTAGGATAAAACAAGAGAGGGCTATCTGATTAAGAGACGAATCCTTTCGTAGCGGATTTTCTATCCGAAAAAGCTCTTATTTCAATGATGATAAAATACTGAAGAAATATGTTTTAGTAGAGCAATTAAATGATCGGTGCAAACTATTCTGTTGGTTTAGAAAAACTCAGCTTAAAAAAATCAGCTGTTAATTTGATAAGTAGTGAAAAAGATGCAAATATAGCTAAATATATTATAGTATATTCATTTATAAAATATTTATTACTTATTGCTGCTCAAAATGCTGGTCGCAAAACATCGGCCCTCTTTCTTCATCTGATAATGTAGTGATGTTTTTCAATTTTCCATAATTTC